TCCTTATGCTTATTCAACTTCCTTCTGATATGATCGTTTAAAGTACACATTATCAATTTCTCCTTAATTCTACTGTCATCTAGGAAATTGCACTTCTTATGTAATTTATGTATTCTATAGAAAAATGTATAAAAAGACTCGTCGTCACGTTGTATCGCTAAGTTAAAATTTTTTATACTTAAATTTATATCTTCCCTCGGAATTAATAACTTGAGTTTATTAAAAACAACCTTATAATCTTTTAATTGTGCCTTTGAACACACGGATGTAATTTTGTCATAAATGTCAATTGATAAGTTACCTAATAAGGTCCTAGCCTTAGATGCGTCAGATGCAATGTAATCCTCAAAGTATGTCTCAACCATATCATGTGTCCGTCTCTTCAAAAAGTTGTGGAAATCTGAGATACGGATCGCATATAGCAGTAAGTTTATTGTCCATAATTAGCATTAAGTTTGTCCATAATAAAAATTTTACTTTAAGAAAATACTATATGTTTTAAGTTATGAATTTCATATCGAACAAAAAAATTATGTTCATCGTTAAACGGAATTAAATAATTCTATGTCTTTAAATTTTATATCGTCAAAGCAAATCAAAAAAAATCCTATGCTTTAATTTTGAGTCGTCAAAGGAAATTAGATAATTCAATCCCATCGAATTTAAGTCGTCAAAGGAAATTGGATAATTCTTTAAATTTAAGTTTTTAAAGAAAACTAGATTATTCTAAATCTCTAATTTTAAGTTATAAAAGAAAATCAGATAATATGTCTTTATATTTAAATTATCAAAATAGATCAGAAAATACTATAACATGAAAAAATGTGTAATTCGTATTCAATTTATATACTATAATTTGTAGCATAATAAGCGTATCAAAATATAAATTGGCGTAAAATTGTAAGTTTTAACATTTTGTGATCACGCAATCTATGAACATAAAGTTCTTATCTTGAATAATATGCGGTCTCCCATTCATTAACATATAAGTGCGTAGCATCACAACCACACATATCACGAGCATTGTGCGATGAAAATAGTGTCCGGCAAATTAATCGCCTTAAATTCAAACTTTTTTACCTTTTGAATATGTATATATCAGAATAATATTTGACTATTTTTTTAAAAAAAAAAAATATCCTTCGAATTTAATTTTCTTTTTACTTTTTTTTTAATTTAAGGAAAATTTTATTTTATTTTTACAAAAACGTGCCGGGGCACCATGAAGGAAACAAGTTAAATTGAGTTTTAAATCAATTTTATTTCTTCTTTTAAAAAATCAAATAATAATAATAATAATATGTAGTGTTGTGAAGTTCGTTTTTTTGAAAAAAGGTGATGAACGGCGTTCCTTTTCTTTGATGAACGCGTTCAATTTTACGTTCGTTAAATTTTAAAAACACTTTTATTTTTATTTATTTGAAAAATTAATATTAATCCGCATTTTTTAACAAAAAAGTCTTATATTTTTATTTATTTGAAAAATTAATATTTAATCCAATTTTTTAACAAAAAAGTCTTATATTTTTTAATCAGCTGTTTTTACTTTTTCCTCTTTCATATTGCAATTAACGTACCATAACGTGCTACTGCTAGAGAAGATAAGATTAAAGTTTATTAATTTGAATATTTTATATTTTAATTTAATAGATTAGCATTTGCATGGATATAAATATTTCATCATCAGATTCTGAAAATCAAAATTCAATATTAGATGAATTAGAATTACCATGGCCCAAATATCAAAAATATTTCACTGTTTTATCAAAAGGTAATTCAATAGTTACCAAATGTAAAATGTGACCAAAAAGTATTATATCAGTGTCAACATCTTCAAGCTCCAATTTAAAAAGACATCTGATTGTAACATTAATTATTTTATATTATATAATATGTATAACTATATAGCCAGTTAATAATTTATTTTAATTGTTCTAAGTAAAAATAATTACATAATATATATATGTATAGTTAATTATAATAAGGCATTTTAATATTAGTATTTGTCCATTCTTAGCATAGATATGAAAGGGAAACTAGTATTTTTATGGGAGCTAATTTTGTTTGTCAATAGTTAATTTAAATTTGTGATCAGTTGAAATAATTTATTTTAATGTTAATTGAGTATTAATTTGAATATCTATTGAAATGTTTTATTATATATACCAGTTGATTGTTTTACATATTATTATTATTATTTGATTTTTTAAAAGAAGAAATAAAATTAATTTAAAATTCAAAATTAACTTGTTTCCTTCATAATTATTTTTTAAACCAAATGATATCTTTACAATACAAAATAAGGATCTTTTTTATTATAGTTATTCCCATTTTTACAGATTTATATAATTATCATCTAATATTTACTAATTTTGCTATTTTGATTGTTTTATATTTCAATTTGACATAAGTGTATATGTATATATTTTGTTACATTACAACTAATTACTTATTTAATCATATAAAAGATTATTTATCTAATCTAGACAATGTAAATTAATCAATTAATTTAATTCATTTCAATCTATTACATACATTCTTTTTTCCTCTTCTTTTATTTCTCAATTTGAAATGAGATAAATTGTTTTCTTATCTTTTTTGAATAACAACATCTACTTTCGTTTTCTACTACTATAGGTAAATTTGTATTGATTTATTGTTTCTTCTTCAGTTATTGTAATGTATGAAATGTCTTTGGCTATTTAGATTTGAGTATGAATAATTTCATTGTTTGATGATACTTTATTGAAGGTCTGTTTTGCATTGTTTCAATTGGTACTTCCTCTCCTGAATAATTATTTCATAATTGTTGAATCTATGTACCAATGATTAATATTAGGGCTGCATCAATCCATAATTTTTTCACCAATTCGATCCAATATTTGTCAATATATATTTCAAACAGCCCTCATACCAATATCTACATTTTTCTCATTATTTTATATAATATAGGATAAGGAAAAAATAAAAATCTCTGTATAAATTTTTTAAAAAAGCGTTTATTTCTGATTTTCAAATTTGTAGATAAAGGTTTTTATTAGTGGTGTACCAATACCGCTTTTTAAAAGCCGATCCGATATTAAATGGATATCGGCCGATTGCCGATCCGATATCATATCTAATTTTGTATTCTGTAAAGATACCAATGGTTTTAATTTTTAATATACTTTTTATTAGTATAACATCTAACTATACCATAACATGTCATTTAAATATATTATAATGATCAGTTATAGTTTATATTCAATTCAATTGCAATTCTAAAAGTATATAAAATATTTTTATAAATCACTTATTTATATAATAGGTAATAACATTAATCTATTAACATAGTAAGTATATCGAAGATTTTTATTTAGAAATACCAAAATTTCCAATTTATCAGAGGTCAGTCTGCGGCGATGCGGACTGTCAATTTCACTAAAAATAGATTCTGAAGAGATTATCGCACACTTTTATACACAGAATGGGCAAAAAAAATAACAATATAGCAGAATGTTAATTAATTATTATTATTAAAAAATTAAACAAATGAATTTCGATTTTATTTATAAAAATAAATGGTATTTTAGATATATAACTTTTTTTAAAAATTTTATAATATTTTATTTTGTTAAAAACGCCATTTTTTATTGGATATGATCGGAAAATTTTATAATATTTGCCGATAACCGATATTTTAAAATGGGTAAAATATCGGCCCGATCCGATAAAAAATATCGGTACATCCCTAGTTTTTATTTTATTATTTTTTTTGATGATGATCAGAATTTTCACTTATATATTAGCCTTAATGCAAATAAGTATAAATTTAGATGCTAGTACACCATATACATTTATATATATTCATATTAAATTTTATATATAACAAACTTATAATATCTTTATTTTAAAAAATTCAATATCAATTAATAAAATTATATATTAGATATTTTTCTTTATAAACATAAGAGAATAAAATTATTCCAGATCTCTGATATAGATAAAAATATAATAATATATTATAATTAATAAAGTTATACCACAGCTAATAATAAAAAATTGATTTTTATTTACTATAAGTTCTTTATAAAAACATTGGAATAACAAAATGCACAAATATTTTGGGTAATCTTCTTTTATATTTGTATATTAATATACTTTATCGTTAAAAAATTTAAAAAAAAACTCTATTTTATAAGTGGCGCCCCTTCACACTTTTTATAGTTTTAAAGATTAGTTCAAAAATAAATAAAAATGTGTATAAATTCGGTATAGGTCAAATTTTTTTAAAATATTGGCCGATCTGATATATTTTCTAAAAGTTCAATGTCGGCCCTTTGTACCGATATTTAATATTGGTAATGTCTTCTCCATAACTATTAATTTGTTTTCGCAAAAAACTTCATTGGTTCTGTTCTTTAACGACCATACCTGTTCCCCAGTTATTTTTAAATCTTTCACTTATATTTTCCCATTCACATTTTGAAATTCCTGGTAATGGTATGCAGGGATGTAAGTAAATAGGTTTTAGTAATTATAATGGTATTTTTAAGCATAATTTAACATGGAAATTGTTTATGCGTTATTTAAGGAGTGTTCAGATAATATCAAAAATATTACATCTTTGTTTTTTCAAAAACTTTTCAAAGTTTGTACTAAGCGCTTCACCTCTCAATTTGATCTCGGGGATACACATCACTATACTAATAATTGTTTGCAAACATTATTATTTATCGACTATTATAACAATAGTATTTGGGTGTGCAAAGTGGCTAAATGTATAATACAATTCCTACTTCCGTAACATTTGTAGAAAGTTTTTGTATTTCTGGCCACTTGCTGAAACTTTCTATTATCGCTAAATATATCTCTCCATTAATGGGTCTTGCAAATTCTAAATGAATTCCTCTCCAGGGTTTATTTGGAGGGTCATTTGCGATGATGCCCCCGGGTTACACTTACAAGATTAGATCTTAATATATATATATATATACACTTTTTATTAACAAACAATTTAGTTATATCGATCCGCTCAATTAGTCATTTGTGGATGAAAAATTCGAAGTTTTCCTCAGATTCAAGGTATATGTTTTACAAAATGAATGTTTGGAAAATAACTAATTTTACAATACAATATATATTTGGTTTTTTATCAATTTTAAATAGATGTTATTTTGATATTAACTAAGGGCTAAGCCGATCCATAAATTTTCACCGATCTGATCTGATTTTTTTCGATATTACTACCAAACCTATCTGATATTTATATTGAATGATTAAATTCATTTTGTTTTTTTATTTTCCAAAAATTAATCATCTCATTTAAAATATGGGCAATGTTTATCGCTTAAACCGCCGGTTCTAATTAACCGATTAAAAAAAGGCGAAATTTTAGCCAAAACATTACCTAAGCGTCGAAATTTTTTCAATGAATCTTCAGACCTTTCTGTAATCTACGGGAAAATTTTCTAATCTTGGGTATAGTTTTGGCTAAAATCTTTAGTTACTAGTTTTTAAAAATCAACTGTGTCCGTTTTACCACACTAACTAAATGTGACTCGTTAGATCTAAAATCCCTTTCTTGTTATAGATAATATAACAAAAAATTATATCCAATTTTAAGCTACTCTATCTTTTGAAATAAGTTGGTTTTTTTAAACAATTCAATTTAGGTTCATCATAAAATAATAAAAAAATTTAATTAAAAAATATGGGCGGTCCGATATTTTTTTTAAAATACTAAATAAAATCAATTTATTAGATAAACATAGTGTTTTAATATCTTGTTGATAGAAATTTTATAATATGATTTAAATTATTATAATTCATTATTTAATAATTTGTTTGGGCAAAAATGTGAAAATATTTATTAGCTAGCTTCTTCGTTACTTAATTTTTCTAAATATTTTATTTTAATCATTTTTGTAATGGTACATTTACGCTAACAATTAATGGGTTAATTTGATTAACTTTGAAATAAATATTTATATATTTTATTTATAACATTATTTTTATGAAATACTAAAAATAATTTGTAAAATTTGTACTAACTGTTGCTTGCTACGGTTTCTAATTGCATAATGTTTGATATATTTTCAAATATTTGCATCAAAAATATTTCACAAGTTGAGGGATAAAATATAAAAAGTTGATTAATATTTCCCGATTTTTTAAAATCTCGATTGCTTCCACGAAGAACATTAATCCATATACTTTTTCTTAGCCTTCATACAAAGTGACCCGGTCCAAAAATATCCTTCCCTTGAAATAATCTACGAGAGAGGGGCCGACCCTACCCTGAAGTTAGTTGAAATGGACGGAACTGTCAAAAGTTTTGGCATTGAGGCCTGGACCACCGATAAACTCGAAACCTTTTTGCTCGCCCACATTGGTGCAGGTAATATACTTGATTCGGCGGAAGAGACTGAAGAGAAGACGGAACTGTAAATAGGTATATAATCCTTCTATACCTTTTTTAGTCACATCGTAACCATTTTCTGCCACATTATGTTCTTTTTCAATGTTTATTAGACGAGAGAAGGGCACTGTGCGACTGAAAAAGGCTATGATGCGACTAAAAAAGTTATATGTACTACCACATCTCATTGATACATTACCCCACTCTTATTTTTTTAAAAAATCTTTATTAAATTTAAATAATCATGATCACTCATTTTTTTAAGCCTTTGTTATTATAAAGGTTTAATTTATAATGAACAAAAATTAATATAAATTATTATATTTAAGAAGTTATTAAAATAAAATATATATTATATAAAATTTGTAAAATAAAATTATGGCTCTACTTCTTCTTCTCCGTTTTATGGCGATTTCCAGGTTTACCCGGGTAGGCCAGTTTTCCCTCTGATTTTTCTTTTCCATTTTTGACGGTCCTGAGCATCAATACTTGTAAGATTCAAGCTTCTCATATCCGCCGCTATCACATTTGTCCACGTCATCTTGGGTCTTCCTCTAGGTCTTGATCCTCCTACTTCCATCATTGTGCATCTCTTTACCCAGTCATCTCTTGTCATACGTTCCACATGCCCAAACCATCTTAGTCTATTTCGTCGCATTACCATACCAATCATTTCTATACCTAATCTTGCTCGCAATTCCTTGCTAGTTTTTCTCTCTCTCAGAGATACCCCACACATCCATCTAACCATCCTCATCTCTGTTCTTTCTAATTTGGCTTCGTGAATTGCTTTCATTGCCCATGTTTCACCGCCATAAACTAAACAACTCCTCACGCAGTTTACATAAACTTTCCCCTTTAACTTCAGAGAAACTTTTTTATTTGTAAGAATAGATGACATCTCTCTGAACTTCTTCCAAGCTTGTCTGATCCTTGCAACAACAGCAGAATCTACACCACCATCTGCGTTTAGCATATCACCTAAATAACAAAACTTATCCACTTTTTCTAGGGTTAACCCATTGCCAATATCCAGACCACCATTTTTTAGGTTATCATTATTATGTATCCCTTTCATGCATGTTTTACAAATAAAGGTCATTCTTTCTAACATCAAACTGCCTTTTTTCCCACTACATCTTTTATGTACCCATTTCTGGCATCTGGTGCATTGGATAGAATTTCTAGCAACTCCTTTCCCACATACACCACAAGGCCACTTACCTGATTCTTCTATCTTTAGATTTTCCCCACCAATCATCACCTTTGTTTTTGATGCATTCATTTTCAGGCCCTTTGCTTTCATAGTCATCTTCCATTTACTAACTTTATCCCTCAATTCTCCCTCACTGTTTGCCATTAATACAAGGTCATCTGCATATAATATCTCCCAGGGAAGTCCTTCACGCATTTCTCTAGCCACCACATCCATTACTAAGATAAATAATAATGGACTCAGCACGGATCCTTGATGAAGTCCTACCTTCACCTCAAAGCTGTCACTATCACCATGATCCGTCCGTACTGCTGTTTGTGCTCCAACATACATTGCCATCACTGCGGTAACTAACCATTCCTCCACACCGGATTTTCTCAAGGCCCATCTTGTAATCTCACGCGGCACCCTATCAAATGCTTTCTCCAAATCAACAAACGCATAATAGAGTTTCTTTTCCTTCGGATACTTCTCCTGAATTTGTCTCACCACAAAAATTGCATCTGTCGTGCCTTTTCCCGATGTAAAACCAAACTGCATTTCATCAATTTTGATTTGTTCCCTTATCCGCTTTTCTAACACTCTCAAATACTTTCATTGCATGTTCCAAGAGTTTAATAGCTCTGTAAGACCCACAATCTAAAGGATCACCTTTCCCCTTGTATACTGGGATAATTATACTTCTTCGCCAGTCCTCGGGAATAGTACCTTCTGTGACAATCTGATTTGCTAAATTCATTAACCATTCAATCCCTAAATCATCAGAACCTTTAAACATCTCTGATACCACCATCGTTAAACCCGATGCCTTCCCTTTCTTCATCTTTTTCACTGCTCTCCTTATCTCGTCCTTGCCAAATTTACACCCTGGACCTTCTACCTTTGCACAACTAATATTATTATTCCATTCATTTTCTTCATTCAAAAGTCCTTTCATGTAAATCTTCCAGGTGTTCTTAATACCACTACTATCAATCGTCATTTTTCCTTCCATATTTTTCAAACACTTTACACCTATCACATCCTGCCTCTTTTTTGACATCTGTTTTGCCATTCTAACCATATTTCCAATTCCATCAGCGCATTTCATTTCTTTAGCAAACTCGTGTCTTTTTTCTTCTTGAGCCTTCGCTATTAATTTCTTAGCATTTCTTTTAGCCATCTTGTAAATATCATTATTTTCTTTGCTATTATACCATACTTTGAAACACCTCCGTTTCTCATCCACGGCTTTCGCTACCTCTGGGCTCCACCACCAAGTCTCCTTATGTCTAGGCGGCCCTTTTGTCCATCCACATACCTCCTCAGTTGTCATTACCCAAGCTTTCTTCATGGCTTCCCACTTGTCATTCACCCCAGATGCTTGTGCCACCTCCGCCTCCCTAATCGCCAATGCCATATTGAATTGACGTCTAGCATTCTCCTCCTTCAATTTCCAAACCTTCAGCCTTGGGACAAACTTTCTTTTAGTGACCCTGGCACCTTTAAGAGTGAGATCTCCTACAACTAGTCGATGCTGATTTATACATTCCTCTCCCGGTATCACTTTCACATTTTTTATTATACATCGATCACATCTCCTTAATAACAAGTAATCCACAACACTTTTGGTACTACCCGACTTATAAGTCACCAGCTTCTCTGATTCTTTCTTAAACATTGTATTACAAACAAATAGCATCACTAAATTCTAAAATCCTCTCTCCTTCCAAATTTCTCATGCCGTAACTGAACCCTCCATGTACTCTTTCATAACCCTCACTACTCGCTCCCACATGTCCATTCAGATCGCCAGCCAGGATAATCCCCTCTTCATTTGCCAGTCTCGATGTCACCCCCAATAGACTGTCCCAAAATACATCTTTCTCTTCTTCACTTCTTCCAACCTGAGGAACATATGCCGAGATCATATTATATAGCTTTCTACCAATAATCATCTTGATAACCATTATCTGGTTGTCTAGCCTTCTCACTTCGACTACTTTGTCTACCAATTTCTCCGCAACCAATACCCCAACTCCAGCCTTACCATCATTACCTCCTTGCCAAAAGAATTTATACTTTTCGCTAGTCTTGCCAATCATTCTGGTCCCATTTCATTTCCATCTAGTCTCCTGTATGCAGCACACATCTATATGTCTTCTGTGCAATACATCGACGACTTCTCCCGCTCTTCCCGTCATACTCCCAACATTCCATGTCGCGACCCTAACTCGATCACCCGCAAACTGGTTTCTCCACTTTTTATTAGGTCGTTTATGGCCGTCATAGGTTTCATTTTCATGAATAGTGGTTCCACCAGGTTTCCCATCCTTCTTTTTGTCGTAGGCGGATGAGGAGGCCCACGGGGTACTTTGGGCTGTACCCCGCCCATGCTTTGTTGTAACCATAGGGAAATTTTTCTAGCATGGTTTTTACAATCGGATGCCCTTCCTGACATCAACCTCTTTAAGTGGTTTTTACACCCCGTCGAGGAGACGGTGATCCTATTCTAGACCCAGATCACAGGGAACCTTTTAGACCTCCATTTGCCGCCAAAAGACGTTGCCACTCCCCCGCCACGATGAGGCTGAAGGTAGGATTTTGGGAGAGTATGGCTCTACTATGCTAAAATATTATAATTTTAGCTCGTTTATATTAAAATTGTGGTATATCTACCTTTACCTTACCCTAACCCTAAAATTTGGCACATATTCTGGGATATCGATATCCATATAAACTAATTTATTCTTTAAGTCCTTTGTTTTATGTCGCGACTTTCTCAGCTCTCGTCTGAGTAAACCACATATATTTTAAATGGGATTAAAATCTGGAGAAGGGTAATACAAGGATAAAGTATATCTTTATAGATTCAGCATATGAAGGAGAATTAAATTTGCATATCCTAATAATTGGATTGATGGGATCAGTACTTCGTTTAGAATATCTGATATTTAACACCATTTATTATATTACTTATAAGAAATACATTTTAGACCTCTGGCATTCCCATACCAGGTAGCATAACCATTCACCATCAATATGGAAGCCTTCTCTGCTTGGGAACCCTGTACCGTACAAAAAATACTTTTAATTATGATTCATTGCTGTATTCTGTTCTCCTATTGCTCTTTTGTCTAATCTACTTATTTTAAAAGTCCAATTTAATCGGTTCTCCCTTTGCAATGTTGTTAAAAATAGTTTCTTCTTAGACTATATAAAATAATTATTTTTCGACTCTCAATTGCAGAAATCTCATCAAATTATATTTTAAGAACAATTTTTCTGAAATACTCTCTTTCGAATTAATTAGCCTTAGACATCCTCCATTTTGAGTAAGCTTGATAATTATTTTATATTTACGTAATATAAATCTACTGATATATCCACTTATTGCTAATTGGTTTGCCAAATTTTTGCAAAAATTTACTCTCTTAAATGAATTAATAACGATCTCACGAATTTGGATATAAAAAAATTTTAAAAGGTCAAAATTTTATAAATTATGTTATATTTGAAAAAAATGAGCAGACGATAGTTAATAAAAATGAGACGTATAAATTAACATGGGTGAACATTTTGGTGATCTTAGCTTAGCATTTGGATAATCTATGCATGACAATTTTTAAAACATTTATATTTTCCTTGAAAATTTAATTTTTAATTTTGAAAATTAATGTAATCACAAAATTAAGGGTGGTCTAATATCAATGAGATGGGGTAATACATGATTAATGATTGTAGAACAGAATATGCAAATGCATAGTAGAAAATTTTCTACCAATTTAGTCAGAATGATAGGACTTATAGATATAGTGAGATTTTAAGAAATGGATCAAGTTATTTATATATTTAAGCGAATTTTCGGGTTGATTTAAAAACCAATCATAAAAGAGTATATATATATCGTGAATGATTCTGCGATAATAGATAATTAAAAAAGGCACGGCTAAAGGCGAGAAACGAAGTAAGAACAAAAAATCTAAAGAATAAATAAGTAATTTGTTAGATCGATAAATTAAATAGAATTAAAAAAGGGAGGAATTGAATAATTATAGTAATTTAATTTATGTGTTAATCTTTTTATATGATAAAGAGATGACAAGGGGGGGGGGGGGGGTTGGATGTGACAGAATTAAGAAAGAGGGAAACTTTTAAAATATATGCCTTGCATTTCATTAAAAATTTGGTAGAGTTTTGAATGTTTTAATTGTTTTATTTTCACAATTTATGGTGATGAGATTATATAGTTAATTTTTATTTTTTAAATAAATATTCGATATATTAAAAACTTGAAATTTGTCTTGATCCAATAATAACGAATATTTATGAAGAATTTAAAAATTAAATGTTTTTATGGTTATTTTGTGGAACAGTGTTTTTCGAATTGATTTATATGGCTAATTAAATCTTCGTCTTGATTTAATTATCTTCGAAGCATTGTTTATTCTGAATTATATCTTATTTTCTTTAATAGGTATTCTTAACGAGGAAAATTATAAAACATGCTTGATTCAAATTCGAGAGAGAAAAAAACTTATGACGATATGAAGACCGTACAAAAATTTATTTTATTTTCTTCTTTTTTTCCTACTTGTTAGAAAATCAGAGAAACGGTCCTCCATCTGACCCAATCCACTTTTTTTTTCTTGAATTGAATGATAATGGATATTATTTATTATATAAAAATTTATGAATTATATTTTATCCTAGAAGCATTGATTTGATTTATAAAATACCTAACAGTTTATTTAACATTCTATATGCATATATTTTGTTAATAATTAATGTTTTTTGTTATTCGAAATAAAAATTCTATTATATTCAACGTCAAACCTTGAGATTGAGATAAGCGAAAATTAAATATTTACTAAGTTTTAAAATCGCATAGGAAACAGATAGCATGATATGATAATGGGGACTAATTATTTAGGATAAAGAGATTTGACTACATCATTTTTTTTGGGTTAGCCAGAGTTAAATGTTTTAGCACCAAGTTATTTTTGTAAAATGTCAAAATCGAAACCAATTTAAATTATATATTTTTTTAAATCCTATTTAGGGCAACATTTATTTGTGCCGATCCTAATTCTTAATTAATACTAAAGCATATACATAATATTTGTTATGTCTATCAGATATGCTATAAGGAAAGATAGGAATAGCTTTGAGACGATATATATTAAGATATTGAGTTGAATACAGATGTAATAGGAAATAAAGATTTCCCTAACTGAATCATATGAGCATTTTTATATTAATGTATAAAAACGATTTGAAAACATTGAAACGTTCATGCTCTTAATCTTTTGAATCCAAATTGGTTACGACAAAAACAACACATAACAGCGATTATAATATACCTGAATATGTTTTCACAATCAAAACAAAGGTAGTATGAACTAAATATGATCACGCAGAAAAAAGAGGCTAATAATCGTGATAGATGAGTCTATTTCGTGAATTTGCTGGTAATTTAAGTTAAATAAAAATAGATTTAAAAAAATTCGCTTCGAGGTATAATATGAACCTGCAATACAAAATGAATGAGTCATTTTTGTCAAAATTTTTTTATTTTTTTGTGCCAATTATAATTAAATCAAATAATTTCAGCGATAACATGAGAATCATTATTCATTAATGTTTTCTACCCCCTCTAAGCCGTTGACGACCCCCCCCCTTCCTTAATTTTTTTACCCATACCCTCTCATCTTCCCTTCCCTAGAAAATTATTTTTTTATTCTAACTAATTTATATACTACTACTACTGAAATCCGAAATAATTATTTCTACAAGATAGATAGCATAATATTTATTCTATTAAAAGAACAGTGATTCTCAAATGAATAAAATAATTCAATTTCAGCTTAAAAACATGACAATTAAAAGGTATTGAAAAAAATAGAAAAGATAAATTATATTGCATTTTTAAATTTTTACGGGCAAAATGAGCAGGGCGGGCTTATATTAATTTTTTATTTCTAATATTTTATAAGTTAGTGAAAATATTTGAACAAAACTACCCAATTAAAAAATTCTTAAAGCCAACGAGTGGGCTTAGCAAAATAAATGGGTGGACCATTTTTTAAAAATTATGTGTGGTTACGTTAAATTTTTATAAAGAAACCGCCCATTACTGATCTCTAGTTTAAATAATTAGTGGGAGGAGTATGTCAATGAGAAATATATAAGGAATTTTTAATTTTAGTTCTCAACTATATTTTAAAACAATTAAAATCAAATTTCATGTGGCTAAATGGATAATCAATAAAGCAGGGCACGCTCGCTATATCTCAATTATTTTCTAAAGTTAAAGTGTGATAATTCGTAGCATGAGGTCAGCTTTAGTAAAATCCTCTGATAGATGAATTAATTTTAAACTCTAACCCAGGGATCTAAACCGAAACGAATATCGCTTCAGGTTCAGATAAAAATAACGTTTCAAGGTTCAGGTTCGATTCGTAAAAAATTAAAATATCAGTTCGGTTCGAATCTCTAAGAACCGATTTGAAAACTTTTGTATCCAAACCTACATTCGAATTATATATAGGGAAAATATTTTTTTATTTTATCATTAATTTAAAAAACGCATGTATAAAACCTTCTTTTTTATTAATTGCACATTAGAAAATAATATTTAATTTATAAATATAAAAATCAGAGTTGTTAAAGTAGCGCGCTACTTTTTTGGTAGCTATAGCCAATAGCCGCTACTTATTTTAAAATTATTTAATTTTTTAGCGCGCTACTTTTTAAAAGTAGCTAAGTAGCGCCAGTGGCGTCACTAGGGGGGGGGCGCAGGGGCTCAAACCCCCTGAAAAATTTGAATAGCCCCCTGAAGCAAAAAAAATTATTTTTTTTAATGGTTCCTTAATATCCCTTAAACTAAAAAGAACTTTTTTTGATTGTCCCCTATTTATTATAATTCTATTAAGTAATATATAGATTTAATTTTATTATTTAAAAATTAATAAGACTATCTAAATTTTATTAGATTAGATTAATACATATAAATTATATTTTCACTATGTCAGCTTGCAATCAAATTCTTTGTTAAAAATAAAATATCAATACCATGCATAATGTTTAAATATCAATTTAGCATTAACAGTTGAAATTTAATTGATTTTTATTAATTAAATTATTATATAACCCTAATTAAATAAATATAAAGATTTATTAATTGAAAATTAACAAATTTAATATTGTAAGCCGAGTTTAAAATCACTATTTAAATAAAATGACTTTGCGATTTAAAAATTTAAGCATTAAAGACTTTATGAAAAAAACTAAAGATAAAAGTAGCAATAATCTTGAGGACCAAAGAAGAGGATTCAATAATAAAGCTGGTGATGAACAAAGTATATTTTATACAGTTTTTAAAATTCAAACTTTGATAGTTGAAAGACGATTAATTGTAGTTTTAAAAGATATAAATATTGAAGACAAAAATGTTAAAAGAAAGAAAATAGTTAAATAAATTTATATATAAGTCTGTCCAAAATGTTTTGAAAAAATCCTTAAAATTTTCACAAATTAATAACAAAACACTTTGGATATTTAAGTTTTAAAAAATAAAAATTTATTAGTTAATTATCTATTTTAATGGAAGGTTTCTTTTTCACTTGATCATAATTGAAGTTATATGTTTTTCCTATTTCCTCCCAAATTTGCCTAATTTCTATAGAATTTCTATTTAAGTCATTTTCACCAGAGTATTAAACAATATTGATTTCTTTAGTTTTCAAGTTAAGCAAAAATTGCTTTACAATATATTTTCACCTTTCAGGAGCAGGACACTAGAAATGGAGAATTTTTTTTAAGTTTTTCTATTATAATCACATAAGGTGATGTCAAAATATTAGCTAAATAAAACATAGTAAATATTTTCTATATAAATAGTCAATATCTTAAAAAATCATACACTATTGTTCTTTTTACATTAATAAAGATAATATTGGCTAAATTGTTTACTCAATCATTCTTTCATAATTTGATAATTATATATTTATTTGTTTATCCTAACTTAATAATAAACTATATTTTAATAAAAATGCTAAATAAATTTAGAATAGTTTGCTTATTTATATATATTTTTGAAAAATGGACACTATAATATGGAATATTACTTTTTATATATTATATTTACAAAAATAAATACACTGAAAAGAAATTTTAATATTTATTTTATAAATTTTTTTTTCATATCCAAAATTAGCTAAAAGACATGGTGCTTATAAAAAAATTCTTTTTGAGATAGGAAAAAATCAGAAAAAAGCAGTAAATTCTTTCTTTTGATATGACCAAAGTTTCTGAAAAATTTAATTAAAAATATTTGAATACATTGACAATACAATAATATATAAGATCTTAATTGCTTTCATCATATCACTATGGTACTTATTTTCTAGCTCCCAAATTATTTATTTCTAATTTGGCACACTTAAATTGTAAATAACTCAAGGCTTCAATATATTTGCATAATTTTCCAAGATTTTAGGTGTTTTTGCTTTATCAATATATCTAACATACTAGATTTTGATATGAGTTAACATCGTGTATGTCATGGCTATGACTGCAAATTAACCAGCATCTATTATTTGTGTGGCTATGTAATTTAAGATTATTACTACAGCTGCTGAGAGCATATGATTGCATAATTAAGATGAGCAACAATGATCAACTGTCCAGTAGTTTATATAGGATTAAAAATGGAAGATAATCTTTTAGAAATTTAATATCTCACAATAATTTTCTCGATTACTTATCTAGCTTCCATCATGTCATCTAAGAGGAAGCTCTAACCACCATATAGTTTTATGATTTGGATTGGTCGTTTATATTCTCTTCTTCAAGAATTGTGATTTGGTTAGGCCTATAAATTTTTTCTTATTAGTCCATTCTATAAAACTTTGTCTAAAATGGTAAGAGAGAGTTATATTAGTTTCATGACCTTTTGTTAATGTTAGTTGCTTAGAATTATATTGCCTTATGGGTTTTTAAAAACATTAACAATTGAGGCATATGTATGAATTAATTAATCGGTTTTATCACTTGTAATTCTTTAGACGTGAAATTTTTTATATCAGCAATTTAAAATACTTTATACTGTAGTAAATCGATTTTGTATTGAAAAATTTGTAGAAATGTATTGTTTTAATTATTTATATTCTAGTTTTAATTATTTATATTCTAGTCTTAATTATTTATATTCTAGTCTTAATGATATTTATATTCTAGTCTTAATGATATTTATATTCTAGTCTTAATTATTTATATTCTAGTTTATTTTGTAGTATAATATAATAAAAAACAAAATATGAAAATAAGAATAATCCTTCAAGAGTTTAGTAATTTTTAAAAATATATTAATATATAACCCGGCCGAAGGCCGGGCAAAAGCGGACCGAAGGCCCGCAAATTAGGGGGCATGGAGGGCGAAGCCCCCATAAAATTTTTTTAGTTGAGCCCCCTGAGATTGTAAAGGCTAGCGACGCCCCTGAGTAGCGCGCTACTTCGCTACTTTTAAAAAATATAATGAATGTAAGTATAAACATGAAAATTTAAATATAATATCATAATTAATTATAATTTATTATTTAATTTTGAAATTTAAATATATTTTTAATTTATATTTTCAATCTGTGTTAATAATCTAAAATGGCATCGCCCATGGATATCCAAATCCTTGAAAGTGATTCAGACATGGAAGATTCATTGGAAGAAAATGTACTTTCTAATAACGATTTCCCATTCCCTAGATTTGAAAAATTTTTTTAAATAAATATTAA